GTGTCAAGGTTGTATCCTTTCACCATACTTATTCAATCTGTATGCTGAGCAAATAATCCGAGAAGCTGGACTATATGAAGAAGAACATGGCATTAGGAGTGGAGGAAGAATCATTAACAACCTGCAATATGCTGATGACACAACTTTTCTTGCTGAAAGTGAGGATGACTTGAAGTACTTACTGATGAAGATGTAATATTGGATTACATCTCAATATAAAGAAAACAAACATCCTCACAACTGCTTCTATAAGCAACATTACGATAAATGGAGAAAAGATTGAAATTGTCAAAGACTTCACATTACTTGGTTCTACAACTGATGCTAATGGAAGCAGCAGTCAGGACATCAGACGACATACAGCACTGGGCAAATCAACTGCAAAGGACCTCTTTCAAGTGCTGAAGAGCAAAGATGTTTCCTTGAGGATTAAGGTGTGCCTGACACAAACGATGGTATTTTCAATTGCCTCAAATGCATGTGAGAGCTGTACAAAGAATAAGGAAGAGCGAAGAATTGATGCTTTTGAGCTATGGTGTTGGTGAAGAATGCTGAAAGTACTGTGTGGACTGCTAAAAGAACTCACAGGTCTGTCCTGGAGGAAGTGCAGCCAGAATGCTCCTTGGAGGCGAGAATGGCCAGACTTCGTCTCACATACTTTGTCACGTTGTCAGAAGGGACCATTCCCTGGAGGAGGATGTCATGCTTGATAAAGTGGAGGGTTGACAAAAGAGGGGAAGGCCCTCAATGAGAAGGATTGACACGGTGTCAGTGGCGAGGGGCAAGAATCATGGAGCTGGCTCAGGACCAGGCAGTGTTTCATTCTGCTGTGCATAGGGTTGTTATGAGTCGGAGATGACTCGACGGCACCTAATAGCAACAACAACATAACTTGCAAATTAGTTTTATTTATTTAATTAATTAATTTATATTGTGGTTTAGGTGCAAGCTTACAGAGCAGAGTTTGTTTTACATTCAACATTTCATGTACATTTATTTTCACTTCCCAACCTTCTGATGACCAGAAAAACCTCTGGGTAGGGTGACCTTATGTCATAGTTTATCCAGGACCACCAAATTCACATCTGTTTCTCTTGGTGTAATTACTAATAGGACCCTTTCACTCTCAGAGGTATCCTAATTTGCATGAAAATTAAATGATCACCTTACCCTAAATCCAAAGGACATTTCTTAAAAATGGAATCAAGGTCCCATGATAGGCAGCTGGGGAGCTGTTAGGGGGTAAGGAGTACTGCATATCACCCCTCAGTCTCCTGAGTTAAGACATACCCCTCTTTCTATAATGACAGACCCCTGTTGCCTGCTTCACAGGTGGAGCCCGGACATCATACCAGCCATCATCCCCCAGCCGCCTCTCCAAGGACATCAATCAGAAGAATTTCAACAATCTCTATGGCACTAAAGGTAGGAGGGGGCTCAGCTCAAGAGTGGGCAGGGCCCAAGAGTGCGCTGTGCAGGAGGTGGGGTAGAGGTGGGAGGCCAGATCTGGGCCATGGGAAAGAGAGACTGGGACCCAATGTGAGATGAATGTGGAGAGGTAGGTGGGGTGGGGGTCCCAGAGAGGGGTAAGGAAAGTCATCCTGGGCTTAAAGTAGTATGTGTGTGTGTGTGTGTGTGTCAGTGTGGACATATGTGCACACATGTGCGATATTAGGCTGGAGGAAAAGCAGCCTGGAACCTTAGCAACACTGGAAACTCCCTGAGTTCATGTAATCTTTTTATTCCTAAGGAATGAGTCAGGACCTAGGGCTGAGCTGCCACCCTGAGGTTGGGTGTGGGGACATCCCCCAGCAAGTATCAGGGCACCAGGGCCCACAGAGTATCTTCACTGATTTGAAAAGTTGTATAGATGTTATGGCAAATTAGCTGAGCTGTAAATGGAAAAGAAGGCATGATCTGCAATGGGCCATGCCTGGGAATCTAGGCAGTACAATTGCTATGGGAGGTAGGTGAGTGACATGACCTACAACATGGGAATGAAGTGGGGCCAGGAAGGTGGCTTTCTCAGGGAGAGCTGCCACATGCAAGGTCTTCCCTGGCCCAGTGCACTGAGGGAAACTTCATGTCTGAAGACAGGGCCATGGGACTCAGTGAGCCCAGATTCTGGAGACCTGTTCCATCCCAGGGGTCCAGGGTACATGTCTACCATGGGTAAAGAGTGAGAGGACTGTGCCATAGGATCCATGGAGCTCTCGCCCCAGACAGACCAGGGCAGGTCAGCAGGAGTGAGAGGGAGAGTGGGAAGCCTCTGCAGTTAAGGCACAGGCCATGGAGAACAGAGGGGCAGGGTATCTAGTGGACAGGGCAATGCCCAGACATCTGTGTCTTGATTGATGATCAGCTGGTACCAACCACCACCCCCTTCTCCACATATATAATAGATTTGGGCCCCATGAAGGCAGGAACTGTCAGTCCTGTTTCTTGCCCTGTGCCCAGGGCGGAGCAGTAGGGGGCACTCAGGAAACATTCATTGAAAAAGAAAAAGAATAAATGAATGAGTAAATGAAAGGGTAAGGCTAATGGCCGCTTGGATGCTTGAATGGGCATACTCTTGAGGCCCTTGCTGCAGAACCACAGAACCTTTCTGAGACCCCTGTGGGAAGAATTTGCAAGAGGACAGGTCAGCCCTAGCCATCACTTACTGCAAGCAGCTGTGGGAGATGATCACCAGGGTTGGGGTGGCATTGCTGTGGTGTGAGCTAAGAGGGGCTTGTGACACTGTGAGAAGCCCCCAACCTGCTGAGGAAGAGGACCTTGGAGGGGTGTGCTCATGCCTCCATCATCCATGGGGGATGAATGCCCTCACAGTACCCCTGTGGTTGCCCCACATCCTCCCATGGCCTCCTTTCCTTCTTGCCTGTGGTACATACTCGGCAAATGGACATTGGTCAGCTTATTCAACTTGGCAAACAGATTTTAGGAGTTATATCAGCTGCCTGTGTCCCCAGTGCTTAGGATGTGCTTGTATTTATTTGTTCATTTGTTCATGCATTCATCCATCAACCATGCAATGAGCACCTTTGAGGAACCAGGCTATATGCCAGCAGTTGACTGTGATGCTGGGCCAGATGAGCATATTTCCTGCCCCTATGAAGCCCACAGCTCTAGGGAGCAGGGGCAGGCAAGTCAAGCTGCAATCAAGAGCCACGGAAAAAAGGGTTAAGAGCCATTCCGAGGGGAGGACAGGGTCATGTGGGGTGTGGGGCAGAAGTACACACAGAGTTGGAGGAAATTACATGTAAGCTGATACCTGAATGGATTTTCTAAGGAAGCAGGTGGATTACCCGAGGCGGAGGACCCTATCTGTGCAAGAAGTCTGGGTCAAGAGAGCCTGGTGTGTCTAAGCAGCTAAGAGCTCAGCCTGGTTGGACTTGAGGGATTGTCCTGGTTGGGCTAGGAGGGTGGGAAGGGAGGCCACAAGGCAAGTGGAGATGGTGTTAGGGGTGGGATGGGATAGCAGATCATGAAAGACCTGTGGACCATGCTAAGAACTTTGTACCTTATTCTGAGAGCAGTGGTTTTTTAGGTAGGGTAGGGACATGAGGAGACTTTATATTTTATCCTAAAACATAAATATAGAATATAAATATAGAAAGATGCCCTGAATGGCAGGAAGGATTGGGGGATGAAAGCCCAGCAGGGGCTGGAAAGCACAAGTCACAAAATGACCACATCCTGCCTTCATGCCTCCATGCCAGGCAGCTTCAGTCTGACCCCATTTCTTTTCCTGACAGGTAACTATACCTCCCGGGTCTGGGAATACTCCTCCACCATGCAGAGCTCTGATGATCTGCCTGCAGTCCAAGGCAGCTCCTCCTTCTCTCTGAAAGGTGAGACTCAAGCCCCAGCCCTCTGTGGGCCCTCACCTTGCTTTGTCCTTGCATTCCCCTCAGTGGAACGTTCCTTCATATCTCCTCCATCACTCCACAAGCCTGCCATGGTCCTACTTCCCCACTCACCAGCTTCTCACCTTGTAGAGGAGCAAGTGCTGGCCTGGAGGCAGGAGGCTGGAGTCTGTTTGTGGCTCAGCAGGACCTTGGGAAGTCACTGGGCCTCTATCATCTTTGCTGTGAAATGAGGGCAGAGGTGGGTGGGTTGGGCCAGATCAGCCTTTCTCAAGGCTTAATCACCACTCACTGGTTCTTGAAGATGCTCTACAATGAAAGACCTCAATGATCCATGGGCTGAGGAAACAGCACCCTTACACCTCTGGCCCTGGAGTCCCTGTTGTTGGGTTTACAAGCTGAGTCTTCTACTGCAGAAAGCCAAGCTAACTGTTCCACCTAGTGATTCCCACCATTAGTGACTTTAGAACCCTCTTGCTATGTAATACCCACTAACATCCCATAAAACTGGAGTCTTACAGAAACCTCTGAGAAAGGGTGGACTAGGGATCCCAAGCTTGATTCTCTTTTCCCTATACCCTGTCCCCTACCTGACTTGCTTCCCCAAGTTCTTTGACAAGGCTGTGTGACCAATGCTTCCTATACCTTGGGGTCATCCTGAGTGGGCGTCTTACAGTGAGGTCTGGGCCTCATGTTTATCCCAAAAGTCTTAAGGACAGTGGGTGTACTATGCTGAGAGGAACCCTATCTTTCTTATCCAAGGACATTTAGTGTGGAAAGATAAGTAGCTGGTGGGGTTGGCAGGTGAAGGACAGAGTGAGAAGGAAAGCCCATGCAGGGCAGACACACTCCCAAGCAGTGGCTTATACTGGTGGCTTTAACACCTAGCAGTCTCTTCCAGGCTAACGTCCCAGCCAACACCCTGACCAGGGATTTTTGGTGCTACCAAGGTGAAGGAAGACTATGAATGGAGGGTCATAGCCTGAAGGACCCCAGGATATCTTAAATCTGAGCTAGGCCTAGGAAGCTCTGGGACTTGCCTTGGCCTCTGGATTCCAGAAGATGTCTCCTTTCTCTTTGGTCAAGTCTGGACCATAGGCCATCTAGCATGTCAGATGGCTGCCCTCATATGGGATTCAGATCTTTTATGCCCCCCAAATATTCTCCCCATCAGCCTACATAAACATTCTTCTATCTGTGGCCATGCCCTGGGAGAGTTGGTTCTCCATACATTCCACCTTGGAAGAGTAGCAAAGGGACCCCATGATCACATTCCTTAGCTGGCAATGGCTTTGGGATAGGGGGTTCTGGGTAGGGGTTCCCAGTGTGCAATGAGAGTCCTTCCAGCAGCAACTGGCCCACCCACACACGTTCCAGGTAGTTTCGGATGAAGGCCCGCCTCTGTCCTGCTCCTTTCCAGCCCCACTGGGGCTAAGCCTTATTGTTAATGCCTCTCTCTCTCCCAGCAGGCACTGGGAAAATCCCTTATCAGTTCACCACCTTGGGACAGGCCCCTTCAGAGTTATCCAAACCATTGGGCGGCAGTGGTCTGTTTAAAAACAATCCTGGTACCTGTCCGTTTTCCACCCTTCCCCTTTTCTCTCATATAGTGGGGCAGGTGGGATATCCTGTGGGGGCTCTTTGCCACTTCTAGGGTGTCCTGGTCCCTCTTCCCTAGAATTCTCTGGTAGAGGGTTTGTGCCCTCACCCACCATCCTAGTACCCCCATCCTTGACTTCTGCCTGCTGTACAAGTTGGGTTTCCTGGATCACACCCCTGCCCCCATCCCCAGCCCTATCCTCATCCTCATATCTCCATGTCTGGTATGGGGTTTTCTTTCTTGAAACTGAGAGGTAGAGTCTGCACATCTCACTCAGGATCCATGGGACCCTCTCTTTCCAAGACTGCTCCACCCCCAGATGGAGGCAGAGACCTGGTCATCTGCTCTGTTTCCTCCTCTGCCTTCTTGCTAAGTGCCAATCCTGGGGGTGGGATGCCTGAGCTGGTGCCAGCAGTGCTGCAAGGGGTCTGATAGCAGGGCCTTCCCAGAGGCTTGGACTCACCAGGCAGAAGTCTCTCTCCTGGGCCACCCAGGCTGCCGCAGCCAGGACCAGATTCTTGTAACTCCAGTAGGGTCAGATTGAGTTTTACTCTGCAGGGTGGAGCTCCCTACCGCGCCCTCTGGGCTGAGGGGAAGAGTGGAGATGGAGGAACAGGCACCTTAGTGATCAAACCAGAGAATACCCATGTGCCCTGGATCTCTGGGCTTGCTCTCTCTACCCTGGGCTGAAGCCACACTAGCAAGTGACCACCCCTCCATGGGCCCCAGTTTCCTGCTGGTGAAATGGGAGAGGGAACAGAGCTGGGCAGAAAAACATGAATATGGATTTTGGGGTTGGGCAAAACCTGGTTCAGATCCCAACTGCTGCTTACTAGCTGTGCAACTTGGCAAACTGCTAAGCGCAGGGAAATGGTATGAGGGTTAGGTGAGAAGACCAGTGCTCCCAGAACAAGTACCAAAACAAAACAAAACAAAACAAAAAAACTTACTGCCATCAAGTTGGATCTGACTCACAGTGACCCCTCCTTGGGTTTCTGAGGCGGTATCACTACAGAAGTAGATTGCCCAACCTTCTTTCTGAGGAGTGGCTGGCTCGTGGGTTTGAACCACCAGCCTTCTGGTTAGCAGTCAAATGCCTTAGGCACTAGGCCACCAGAGCTCCCCCAGCACAAGTTACTCACTCACTCACTCAGTCACTGCTGAGTCGGATCTTCAGAAGAAGATTGGCCAATCTACTTTCAGAGTGATATTGCTTTAGAAACCCAAGGAGGGGTCACTATGAGTCGGATCTGACTTGACAGCAGTGAGTGAGTGAGTGAGTGAGTGAGTGGTGAGTGAGTGAGTGAGTGAGTGAGTGAGTGAGTGACTTGTGCTGAGGGAGCTCTGGTGGCCTAATGCCTAACGTATTTGACTGCTAGTCAGAAGGCTGGCAGTTCAAACTCACACAAGTAGGGCTCCATAAATGGGAAGCATTGTCCAGCCAGCACCAGGGCATTAGGGGAGAATGAGCTCCCCCTGGCAGGACGTTCTGGCAGGTTGTAACTTTCTGGGACACTGGATAGGGGAGGAGTCATGGTATGAGTCTTCAGGGTGGGTGGGTGGAATCCCCTAAGAGCCAGTGTGATCCTGACCTGGGTTTGGGGCACCACTCCCTGCTACCTCCTGATCTGCTCCTTCTCCTTCTGTCTGTAGGGTGCTTCTGCCCTTTGGCCAGCTCTCCAGTTCAGTTGTATCATCCCTTCAGGGTGGCTGCATTTGGTAATGGTCTGGACATAGCTTGGTGGTCACTTGGGAGAAGGAAGCTGTGCTGTCCCAGCCCCAGGACCTGGCTGACCAGCACTTCTTGTCTCTCTAGGCTATCCTTCCCTCATCCGGAGCCAGAGCCCTAAGGCCCAGCCGCAGACTTGGAAATCAAGCAAGCAGACTTTGTTGGTAAGTGAGGGGCTGCAGAAGAGTTGCCTGGACATAGGCATATCCAGAGACTTGGGCACAGACTCAGGTTCTTGAAAGGCAACCAACCAGCCATCATTCCCAGGCACTATGGGAAGATGGGACTTCTCTGGGCCTTGGGATACGGGAAGGAGGCAGCAGTGGCCTGAATACCTGCATACAGCAAAGGGTAGTAGAGCCCCAAAGCTAATAGTCATGGGGTCTAGTGTAAGCACACACTTTCTTGGCTTCAGTTTTCTAATCTGTAGAGTGGGCAGCCCTGGCTTGTTATTTGGCGAATGGTTGTTGAGTACCTAGACTTATTTGAATGGGTGCTTGGTCCCTGCCAGCTGTGGGATTGTAACATGCTTAGTCCAGGGGATAAGCATCCCCTTCCTAGGGAGTTTTCCAGCTCTCAGCATAGAGGCTATTGGGGTGATAGCATGGAGAGGGGAGGCTGGAGAGTTAGGAGTAGATAGAGTTAGGGACTCCTATCCAATGACTTGGGAGCTCTGGTAGCATAGTGCCTAAAGCACTTGACTACTAGCCATAAGGCTGGCAGTTGAAACCCACCAGCTACTCATCGGAAGGAAGATGGGGCAATCTACTTCTGTAGTGATACTGCATTGGAAACCCAAGGAGGGGTCGCTATGAGTTGGGTCTGACTCCAGGGCACATAACAACAGCAACAATAACATCCAATGACTTGAAGCCAAGGAACAACAGGGAAGTGTGGCCTTGGGATCTCAGATGCTGAAATTAGATGATCTGTAATCCTCCTTGAAGGAGCTCTCATGCAGTCATTAAACCATTCAGCTACTAACCAAAAAGTTGGCAGTTCAAGTCCACCAGCTTCTCCACAAGAGAAAGTTGAAGCAGTCTGCTTCTATAAAGATTTATAGCCTTGGAAACCCTATGGGTAGTTCTACTCTGTCCTGTAGGGTTGCTATGAGTCTGAATTGACTCAGTGGCAGTGGGATTTTTGGTTTTAATCATTTTTGGATCACCATGAGTAGGAATCAATTTGACTGGCTTGGGAGTCCCTGGAAGTGCAAACTGTTAACACATTTGGCTGCTAACCAGAAAGTTGGCAGTTCAAGTCTACCCAGAGGCACCTTGGAAGAAAGCTGTGGCAGTCTTCTTTTGAAAGGTCACAGCCATGGAAAACCCTGCAGAGCACAGTTCTACTCTGACACACATGGGATCACCACAGGTCAGAGCTGATTTGATGACAGCTGGTTTGGTTTTGGTTAATCCCTTTTAGAGCTGACATACCTGAGCTTGTCTGAGACCTCAGTGATCAGGAACTGTCTCTCATAGTTCCGTTTCTTGATTTCCCTGTTTCTTCCCTGAGGGCTCATGCCAGGTCCCACTGAAGGGGCCAGCCAGTTGCTCTGCGATAGGAGTGGCAACTTGGCTCCTGCTGGGCTAAGAGCCCCCCCCCCCCCCCCCGCCTCCCTGCTGTCTTTGCATGTGAAGGCCAGAGCGTGGGGAGGTGATTAGCTCTGGGCCACAAAGAGTGGCTAGGCTGGTTAATTGGAGAGAATCTTTAATTTGCTGGCAATGGGAGTTAAGTGATCGTGTGTGTAATTTGGAGCTGGGTCCAAGGGCATTGAAACAGCAAGATTGCAAAAAGCAGATATGGGGAGAAAAAAGTTTTCAGTCTCTACACTGGTCATTTGCTTCCTACCACATACCTTCCTACCCTTTCAGAGCCTGGGTCCCAGCAGAGAAGGCTCATGATGACTTTGAGACCCATGGTAGGGCAGGGCTCTGCAGCGCACCTAGTGTTGGGGGGAATAGAAGCAGGGTGCTAGTGTGCAAAGAGGGCCAGCAACTTGCTGTGTGACCTTGTACGTGTCATTCTTCCCTGTGCCTCAGTTTCTCCAATCTGTAACATGAGTCAGGTGACCTGGATAATTAATAGTCTTTGATTATCCAACTAACTTTCAGGTGCTGTGACCCCGAGCCACAGGGGAATGAGAGAAGGGCCCTGCCTGGATATGGTGAGGCTCTCTATTCCTGCTCATCTACCACTCTAGGCTATTAACAAGACAGTACCAATCACTCATCTGCAATCTATATTATTGACCCAGCTTTCCTGAAAGAAAGGCTTCAGCCATTTCCAGGTCTATTAACTGCCTATTGACCTCTTTGGGGTCCAGGCCAGTTCCTGGGGGTCAAAAGACTTGGTCCCAGGCTCTGCTCTGCCACTGGGTAGCTGTTTGACTTTGATTTTGTCCTTTACCCTCTCTGGGTCTTAGTTTCTTCATTCATTCCTTGGTTAAACCAAGGTCTATGGACTCTCCATGTCAATGTTCTACAGATCCCTGAGTCCTGCTCTGGATCCAGGCTTAGGTGAAGAGCTGAGTGGCAGATTCAAGTTCTTAGGCAGGCAGGGGCAAGGGCAGGGGCTGTGGACACCCTGGGTCGGGGTGGCAATCGTGTCTCTGTGGGACATTGGCCGAGCTTGGGGACAGATCTACTTCCTGAGACTCTCAAGGGACCAACGGTGCTCACATGGACAAGGGGCAGCTCAGATTTGTCCTGTGGTTCAGCCTGGAGGGCTGATTTCACAGGACCCTGATGAAGTGATTGGGAGGCAAACTAACGCTGATATGAAATTACATGTGAGATGTAATACACAGAGCTGGCTGGGGAAGTTGTCACTGGGCTCTTTCCCGGGAGACACTGCGTGAACACTAATGAGGGGGCAGGATGTGAGAGGTGAGGGGACAGGAGGGAGGAGGCTCTGGGTCTGTGTTGGGCTGGGCTGCTGTTTGCCCTCTCTGTACTCCTCTTGTCAGGGAGAATTATGCAGAGAGAACAAAAGCAAACATGTGAACAGTTGCAAAGCGACAAGAGGTGTGTGGACTCTGGAGCCAGACTGCAGCAAGGGCTTGAATCCTGGCTCTGTTCCTTACTGGCTGGATGACCTTGGCCAAGTTATTTAACCTCTTTGTGCCTTGGTTTGCATAACTATAAAATGGGTTTGATAATAGTAACTTACTTCATTGGGTAGCTGTAAAATTTAAATGAATCCTTACATATAAAACACTCAAAAAAGAGCTGTATAGTTTGGTACAGTATGGAAACAAAACAAAACAAAATCATTGCCATGGTCAATTCTGACTCATAGTGATGACCCTATAGGATAGAGTAGAACTAACTACCTCATAGCGTTTCCAAGACTGAAATCTTTACAGAAGCAGACTGCCACATCTTTCTGGCCTTTTGGTTAGCAGCTTAACCACTACTCCACCAGGGATCTTATAGAGTATGAAAGTGGTGTGTAAAAAATAGTAGCGATGAGAGCAGTGATGATTCAGTGGGAGACTTCTTGCCTTCCAACCAGCAGACCTGGGTGTAATTCCTGGCCAATGCACCCCATCTGCAGTACCAGCCATCTGTTAGAGGAGGCTCCCAGGTTGCTGTGATGCTGAACAGGTTTCAGCACAGCGTCCAGACCAAGGCAGACTAGGAAGAAAGGTCTGGTTATCTACTTCTAAAAAATCTACCCATGAAAATCCTATAAATTATAATGGTTCAGTCTGCAACCAATCATGGGGATAGCACAGGGCTGGGCATCACTGAATTCTGTGGTGTGTGGGGTTGCCATGAGTTGGGGGACTGAGTGGATTGCACCGGCCAACAACAACAACAGTAAGAACAGCAGCATGGTGGTGCTGGGAGGGCCTTCCTGGGCTATGGAGGGAAAGCTCATTAACCCACTGACCAGATGAACTCTAATTAGGATTTAAATCCAGAATTCTGATAACAACAAGGGATCAATTCTTGATCACAGGGTAGTCAGGTTGGGCCACAAGACTTTGTAAATTGTTGGGGGTCAGACCACTGCTGCCTCCTGTGGGGAGAATAGGGGAGGATGAGTCTGGCTGGTGGGTTGACTGCCATCTGCCCTCCCTAACTACTCTGGTTTCCTCCACAGTCTCACTACCGGCCATTCTACGTCAACAAAGGCAATGGGATTGGGTCCAATGAGGCCCCGTGAGTTCCAGACAGGAGAGAACGAGGCACCGTCACCCCTGCCCTCCTCAGCTGATTCTGCTGCTAGTGCCTTCTAAGCTACTGCTCCTATGTGGGCAGGAGGGCACCTGGCCCATGCCTGCCTCTCCAGCTGTCTGTGCCCTCTCTGGGCAGCCTTGGCCTCACCTCCTCCTCATTGGCCACACTTCATCCAAGCCCCTTTCTTGCTTTGTAAATTCAGACGGTCACCATCTTTCCTGTGCTCATAGACCAAACCATCCGTGGGGTAGGAGATAGGTGGGGCTTCTCTCCTCTAACCTACCACCCTCCTCTTGAGCTAGATTACTGGGGCTAGCAGTGGGTGCCCACATGGTCTCAGTCTTCCTCTCCTATCTATGTCCCCAGGCTTGTTGATGGTTGCTTTCCAAGGCCCCTTCTGCCATGATGTGATCAGTAAATATGTGGTCAAAACAGCTGCTCATCTCCCATCCACATAGACCTTCTTCCCAGCAGCCTGACCCTGCCAGGAGAGGACTGGCCCCATGTGCCCTACTCTGGTCACAGACTGCTCAAGCTGGCAAAACCTTAAGCTTTGGGCCATGCCGGAGGGAAGCCTTGGCATCCTCCAGTCCTGACCTTGAGTCTCCCCATCCTTGCATCTTCAGTCTCTGCTGGACATGGTTCTCCTGGCCAGCAGGATGACCCAAGCCAAGATATTTCTCTCTTTCTCTTGCTGGAATAGGTAGTTCCCTTAGCATGATATAATGCACCAATGAAAATAGCTACTGGCCCAGCTGCACTATAGAATTTCACTTATTTTATAATTTTGTGTTCTCCCTAGTGACGGAAAGTGAGCAGGCTGATGGAAATGTGGCTGAGCTGGTAACTGGAAGTACTCTTTACACGGGTGGCTTATACACTGCCCTCATCACAGAGGTTTCCTCTTCCTTCTGACTATCTTCATGTTAAATCTGGTGGGCCCAGGGCCTGGAGAGAGGACCAAACCAGGAATGGCAGGGTGGGGCTCCTCCTCCTCTCACCCCCAGGCCCCTTCCCCACCCTCACTTCCCAGCATTTTGGGGCTATTGATAGGGCAGGCCAGGTTGTAGAGGTGGGAGAGGGAGGGAGACATTCCGCTCGGGCTTTCCCCTCCTGAATAAATCATCGATTGCTCACTTCTTTTGTATTGAACAAGTGTTTCCCTGAGGGTCACGTGAGGGACTGGCTGCCATTATTGTGCAGGCACTTTTTCCCCTTCTGACAAGTGTGCTGACGTCTTCCCTCTTTTCTCTAAAGGCATGACTTCTTTGGGTCTCCTCCCAGGCCCTTGGCTGTCACCAGGGAGCAGGAACCTTCCTGAGGCAGCCCTTGGCTAACAGAAGAAAGGCCCAAGGGCGGGGTCCTAGGGATATGTTGACTACACTGGGGGCCATGAGCTGGAACGCTGACCCCTGGCCAGTCCAACTGAGTCCCCAGAGGGGAACAGAGCCCAGGAGGGTCCAGAGCTTTTTGGTGCTCCCAAATGGGCCAGGCTGGAGTGGCGACTGATCTGAGGATATTAGTCACTGGCGGCCTGCAGGGCTTTCTGGTGGCAGAAGCCCACATCAGAGGCGAGGAGGAGAGCCAGCCTCCTGTGGGCAGTGCCATCCTGGGCTTGGGGGATAAGGGAAGGAGACTTAGTCATCCAGTCCCTGGGTGCACAGGGAGACTTGGATGGGCATTCAGGGAGACCTTCCTGGAAGAGGCAAGTAAGACAAGAGGAAGCCTGATTTGTTAGCAAGGGGAAGAGGATGGGAGATAACTAAGCTCTTTCCCCTGCTGTGGTTAGGATGCCTCAGGCCCCTTGGTTCTCAATGTCTTTTCTCACTTGCCGGCAAACAGACCCCTCCCCCATCCAAAGCTGCTCTGGACTGAGTCAAGCACCTGAACCAGACCACTGCTGGTCCACTGTGGAGGGATGACTCTCTCCTACTCCCTCTGCCCACCCTGCTGGGCCAAGGGAGGTTAGGAGCCTGGCCATAAGACAGATTTCCCAGGAGGAGCCTTCCTGGAGTGAGAAACGGGAAGGGAGAAGTGGATAAGAGAGAAGGATGGCGGGAAAGGAGGGTATGAACGGACAGGAAGGGAGAAGGGATGGGGTACACCTATGGGGGACCTTCAGGCACTGTAAGGAAGAGATGTGTGAGGGGGACTGGTGTGCCTTGGCTACCTTAGTGCCCCGCTTTGGGAGGTGGGAGTACAAGAGTGTCCCAGGATTGTCCCCACAGCTCCCTGCCCTGGTGCTGGCTCCCACAAACAGTTGTAGTCCTGCAGCCCAGGGAGACAGTGTGGGCAGTCAGTCCCCTGAGTCTGCCTGACTTTCAGGACCTGCCATCCCTGTGGCTGCAATGGGTAGCAGAGCCACACTTTTATATATATATATATATATATATAATTTTATTATGATTTGGGTGAAAGTTTACAGAGCAAATTCATTTTCCTTACAGCATTTCATACACATTTCGTTTCATGACAATGACTGCAATTCCCCCACAGTGTGATAGCTGTCTTCCCACTTCTTCCCCATAGTTACCTCTTCCCTGTGTCCTTCCCTCCCATGCACTCCTGCCCCCCTGAAGTATCTCCCTGTGCAAACACTGCCCTTCTGTTCTCCCATGATTGATTGCTCCAAGGAATGTATCTACCTGATGTAAATATTCACCCTGCATGCCTGTTTATTGTTTGGCTGGAAGGCACAGGAGAAAGTCCAATTCCAGACCTGAAGGGTAACTAGAGGCCATACTTTCAGGGGTCTCACCAGGCTCCATCAGATCAGCAAACTTGGTCTTTTTCTTTCTTTTCTTTTTTTAATGATTTTGAGTTTTGGTCTGTATTGTTCTCCCACTCTATCAAAGATCTCCCTTTCTGAGTGGTTGATAGTGGCAACTGGGCACCCTCTGGTTCTTTTGGTCTTGTGATCAAATAGGCTGAGGATTGCATGGTCTACTAGTCCCTTGGACTAATTGTTCCCATGTGTCTTTGGTTTTTTTCATTCTTCTTTGCTCTGGATGAGAAGAGATTCATCGTTGCATCTAGATGGCTGCTTGCAAGCTTTTAAGACCCCAGTCACTACTCACCGAAGTAGAATGTAGAACAATGTTTTTGTGTAGTATGTTATGCCAGTGGAGCTTGATGTCCCCTGTGACCATGGTCCCAAGCCCACAGCTTCAACTACTCCCTCGGAGGGCCACACACTTGGGCTTGAGAGATGTCCAGACTCTCTGAGACAGACCCTGGCCATGTGGGGCCTCCGTGCTCTCTGGTCCACGTTCTCCTATTCCCCATGCTGTGGGGGCCCTGCTTTGATTTGGGCTGGAGGAGGAGGGAGGTGATGCTGGGGATCAGCAGGGGCTCCAGTCAAGCAGATGGGAGACCTGAGTTCTTGTACTTACTTGGTCACTTTTGGCTGTGTAACCTGGGCAGGCTGCTTGCCCTCTCTGGGCCTGTCTCCATCTACTCTGGACTATTCCTGATATCCTTTTCCAGCCCTAGTAGTCTGTAAGGCAAAGACCACAGCAAGGGGGGTTGGAAGGACTGGAAAGTTGAGTTTCATCCCAGGTTGGGGCTCTGTGATCAGGTCTGGATTGAGAGCCAAGGCAAAGTAGACTTCCAAATTCCCAAGACCCTTCCTGACCTGTGTACCCAGCCTGTCAAGGACTTGGGTTCCTGTCTTAGGAGACTTCCCTTTCATAAAGGAGGGATGCTGGGACCTCAGAAGCTTCTGGATCTTCAGGCCCCACTGGAGTATGGACTTTGTGATAGCAGAGGTTATTCTAGTGTGTTCTCTTCTGTATCCCCATCACCTAAACAGTGTGTGTAGACAGGTCTCTGAGGCCAAGGAGCAGTTATGGGGAGGGAGGCTGAAGGGGTGGGAGAAAAGGAGGGCAAAAGGAACAAAAGGGAATTGGGGGCATGGGGACATTTCATTGTCGGGGAGCCAAGTTGTGGGCTCCGAGGGTAGCATGTTCTACAGCAGTGTATAGAACCTGGAACCAGACTCCTCACCGCTCACCCACTGTGTGACCTTAGACAAGGCACCCCAGCCTGTCTGAGCATCAATTACCCCGTCTGTATAATGAGGCCAGCATAATACAGGGTTGGTTTGAGCAACAAAAACAAGGTACCTGGCCCTGCAAGTGCTCAATAATAATTCCCAAATCAAACCAAACTCACTGCCATTGAGTCAATTCGACTCATAATGACCCCTCCTTGGGTTTCTGAGGTGGTATCACTACGCAAGTAGATCACCTAACATTCCTTCCGAGGAGTGCCTGGTCGGTTTGAACTTCTGGTTAGCAGCCTTCTGGTTAGCAGTCAAGTGCCTTAGGCACTGTGCCACCAGAGCTCCCCAATAATAATTAGGAGCCAGTAATATTATTATTGTCAAGTAAACACAACAAATACAACCACCACAACAGCATCCCAACCTGGGACCACACATGATTTCCCATATATTTCACCTTATGCACTTGGACAGAAGGGACAGGGTCTGGGGCAGCCAGGCTATCCTCTCACCCAGCCCCTGAAACAGCACAAAGACTTCCTGCAGTTCTGAGACATGGCCAGGAGGTGGAAGCAGTTCACTGCAGTTAATGGACATTAGGGTTCCCTCTAAAGAGCTCTGGTAGCATAGTGCCTATGGCACTTGACTGCTAACCAGAAGGCTGGAGGTTCAAACCCACCAGCCACTCCTCGGAAGGAAGGTTGGGCAATCTACTTCCGTAGTGATAATGTCTCGGAAACCCAAGGAGGGGTCACTGTGAGTTGGGTCCTATGGCACATAACAACAACTAAGGAGCTCTGGTGGCGTATTGCCTAAGGCATTGACTGCTAACCAGAAACCCAAAAGGAGGTTGCTATGAGTTGGAATTGACTCAATGGCAGTGAATTTGGTTTGTTTTTGAGGGTTGCCTCTTGAAGCCCAAGGTGTCCAGGTTCTCTGCTAGCAGCATCTCTTTCACAAGGTTAGTCCCTTCCTCCCCCCATTTTTC